TGCACTTGAGCCAATGCAATGACGTAGAACGAAGAAGATGCGATTTTGTTCTATAAATAACGATACACAATAAAGGACGAAGCACAGGTTTCAATATATTGTACTGTATAAAAAAAAGAAACAATATTTTTAATATGATATGTTAGAAATGCTCATTCTTTGGTGGTTCTAGGAAGTGCATCGCACAAAATGACAACTTCCTCATTTTTTTTTTTTAATTTTCTGCCTTTTTATTTATATATTTCTCCATAGTAACCGTCATAATAATATCCGTAGTACCCAGTTGCAGCAGCAAAGGCTTTAATGGTAAATAAAATCTGCACAGGAAATAGTGTAGCATTTAACGAGATGGTGGTATGCATTTCCAGCTCCTTATGAATCAAATTTTTTTTATTATAATTATTCTCTAGATTAATAAACTTATTAAAGTTCTCCAACCATCAGCTGTTCCGTAACGTTAAGCGCCCGTTTGTTGAATTTCTTTGATGTTCATAAATAATATTATTATCATAGTAAAATAATACAAGAGGATATGAGTAGCTTATCATATTGAATTAACTCGCTTGATCCCCAATACAAAAATTAATCAAGCAGTTACGTACAAACTGTTTTTTGATTCCACATACGCCGTGGTGTCCTTAACTCATTAATAATAACAAGTACATAAAAGGAGATATTGTTATAATTCGATTATATATCGATTTTTGGGAATAATAAAAAACTACTTAATCGATTGTTTTGAACTATGCAGGACATCTTTATATAATATACTAAAATCAAATATATAAATCAAGCTATTTTTGTCTTTTCCGCTAAATTCCAAATTTCAAAATTTTTTAACAAATTTTTTTTTTTAAATACATCATGCCACAAGCCTATAATCTATGCCTTGTCCTCCTAAAATCTGTCTTAAAATTTGTGTATATATCTGAATAGTTTCGCAAATTTTTCGCAATGCTTCGAAAAGTTTTTTCGTAACAACAAAAGTTATTGTATTGCAAAAATTATTTCAGAATAGTATCAGGTCTGAACAAATACGTCAACTTAATTCATAGATATTATAATAAACACCAAAATTTCCTGAGTCTGAGTTATATTTGTATATACTGCTATCAAAATATATTGAATTTTTTAAAATAAAGTCGCTCATCATTTTGCTCATTCTGTTATTACGTATGTTCTGCAAACTAACAATGATAACATAGAACGATTTACAAGGAAACAGTACCCAAGGTCTATTTGTTCTAATTAGAGAATGAGTCGTTAAAAAAGTGGAGCATAACAATGGCTTTGTCCTTCATTGGCATAATGACTAATACATTTTGCTGATGAATACTCYACCCTGGCTAATAACATTTTGGCAGCGACTTACAATTCGGTGACCAAAAGCTGGAATGGTTGACGGAGGGATTTCTTTGATTTTAATTGTTTTCGTTCTTCCTTTCTTTTATCTCAAGCCTAGCGGAGTAAAATCGGCTGCACAAACAGTTCATCCTTTGATCACATTAATTTTAAATTATGAATTATATTGCTATAGTTCACAGAAGAAATAATAATTTCGGCATTTTTATGGATATAAATATTAAAAAAAAACTCTCTCAAAGCATCAAAGCACATATTCGAACATGCAGAAATTTATATTTGCATATTTTAAAGAATGTTTAGCGGAAATTGAAAAATAATACTAGAGCCAATTTTTTATATGTAATAATTAGAGCAGTTTTAACATATAGGAATAGGAATATATCATATATATCAGGAAATATTATACCCGAAAAGTTGAGATTTTAATTTTGGACTAAAAAACTCTTAGCGACGGACCTTTGGCAGGCATTCGAAAGCATCCAATCAGTTCACTGAGATTGAAAAACTTGAACAAAGACAGTTTCAAAACGCTTGGCTAAAAAGCTAGAAAATCTGTAAGGACATTTTGATCAAATTTGACCCAGACTGTTCTCTTTAAACGGCGATTGCAAAACGAATTGATAACAGAAACGTTCTCTAAGTTTTATACAACCGCTTTTCATGTTCTCGGGAGTTTGTCTGGCGATTAGTACCACGGACAATTGACAACGAGTTTTCTTAAAATTGCTTGATGCCTATGGAATCATGGCAACGGTACCGTTGAAAATGTTGCAGAAGTTTTTTGTGAAGTTTTTTTTTTCACCATATAACAAAAAGTACTTGAAACTTGTCGAGCTGGAATTGTAGAGATAGCAAAGGGTCTCAGTATTTCCTTTCGATCGGCTCAACAGACTTTGATTGATGTCATGGGTATGAAGGTTATTAATGTTAGACTAACCGGGCGATTATGTACTGTGATATAGTCTCAAGTCTCTAAATTTGAGATTTTATGTTAGAGAAAATTTTTGAGACTTGAGACGATTTTGCTATTCTGTAAGTGAAAGTCTCAAAATCTATTACATTTCATTATTCAGAGATGTTTTTACATTTGAATGAAAAAATATGTCGATAACAAATATTAAATTTTCAATAATATAGTCAAAAAACATAACCACCAATAAAAATAAAAATATATGTTGACTTTGTTTCACAATATTTACGAAATTTATGTAAAATTTATTTATTTTTAAATTTTTCAAAAAAAAGTACGTCCAAATATGCCCCTCCCTAATGTGATCCTTTGTGCCAAATTTCACTTTAATATCTTTATTTATGGCTTAGTTATGACACTTTATAGGTTTTCGGTTTTCGCCATTATGTAGGCGTGGCAGTGGGCCGATTTTGCCCATCTTCGAGCTTAACCTTCTTATGGAGCCAAGAAATACGTGTACCAAGTTTCATCATGATATCTCAATTTTTACTCAAGTTACAGCTAGCACAGACGGACGGACGGACAGGCGGACAGACACACGGACGGACAGACAGACATCCGGATTTCAACTCTACTCGTCACCCTGATCACTTTGGTATATATAACCCTATATCTGACTTTTTTAGTTTTAGGACGTACAAACAACCATTATGTGGACTATAATACTCTCCTTAGCAACTTTATTGCGAGAGTATAAAAACGACATTCGATTACTATCTATGATGATATTCAGTATATTCAAAATGGCAGACAAGAGTTCTTTTTGGTTTTGTAACCCGCTAACTACCAGGTCTAAAATTTGAAGCAATATTTTGAGACTAACGCTAGAGACTGTTTAGTGAATAGTATCTAGTCACATATTGAGATTTTAACTCAAAATGTCTCAAATAGAGACTGGTTACAGAATCCCGCTATAAATTGGCTTCAAAAAGTGGTTGCAACGTAGCCAAGTCCCCTACATTTTTCAAGCGCATCGTTACCGCTGAAGAGATGTGGGTTTATGAAAATGACGTTGAAACTGAAGACCAAAAAAACCAAAAAAACCAAAGGAAGTATATGAAAATAATAAACTAGGYACCGAAGTTGGCTGTAACAACACCATTACCAACATCGGTAATGCAAAGAAAGCAAATATCTATCATCAGATAGTACATAGATTTAGGTAGAGCATCAACTGATTAAAATATGAAGCTTAGATGAGAACCTTTCATTATTATTCAAARTGAACAACACATTAATTCGTTAWCGTTAATGTCACACGGGGCGTCTCACGGACATAATTTATATGCTAATTACTCATCACGCGACCCTTTTTAATGTGACGCGTTTTCTAGGCTTKCCGCTAGATCGATAATTACTCCTGGCTAATCAAGCTCATTAAAMTGATTAACAAGAAGAAACTGGTCTTGCAATCCACAGARCTTGGTGTTTCCTAGTTTATAATATTTGTGTCAATAGCAACAATAAAATAATTGAGTTCAATATTAATGCAACTTATACGAGTACAACTCACAAAGCACAAAGCATAAAGCACAATTGTCGAAAAAGAACAAAGCACGAGTTGTACTCGTATTTGTGCTGTCTGTGCGTCGACCCAATAAAAACACACCCCAGAAACACATATGAAKCCGAATAGGCAAATAGTAGCAAAGGCTAACAACACAGCATGCGAAAAATGTAAAGTGCACAAGAGGCGGCGGGAAGCGGACACACTACAGGCGAGGCAGAGTAYGACGGACYGCCTATATTGCCAAATGTCATGCAATGCCGGGGCGAAAGTTGCGAAAGTGGCAAAAAAGCAAAAGTAGCTGTKAACATGAGACCAGCAGCGCCAAGTTGGTCGCAAGCTGAATGGGAAAGTAAGCAGCGTGAGTGAGGTCGCGTGGCAGCGAAATAGGCAAAATGCCACCAGCGTGAAGAATGTCAGGAGCAAAAGTGCTGTCGCATAATGAGCAAAATGACTAGAGAAAATAAAAGTAAGGCAGGCAGCAAAACCTCAAAAAACAAATATTTCTCATTGATTTTTTKCTTATTTTGCTACKGCATGTGCGGCGCATGCGCATKYKTACTTRTTATTGTTATCGCCAAAGCTTTCACAGCAGTTTCATCATACATAGCGCTTATTATTCACACATATGTGCCTGTGTGTGTTGTCGTGTGCTCACAGATTCTCCGAAATCTCAGCTCTCTAAATATTTTACGATGATTACTTTTCCACTTTCAACTAGCGGGTAGGCATTGTGTCGGGTTGCCGTTGAGACATTTCGCAATACACACAACATACTCRTATTGCCCGTGGTCGGAACGGTGCAACGGACGAGAGTATACGAAAAACGGTGCAAACTAAAAAATTTGTAATAGTTCAATCACAAACTAAACTAATCAACAGCAAACTAATAATTTYTTGCATWAATGCTATAGAAAAGTRTAATCCATCAACGCGCCTGTATRTCTGTGTCTGTAAGCGATTCATCGATTTGTGAAAAAAGTGCGATTCGGCAGAATATGGCATGCTATTAATGCTGCCATACGAGAAGGTRTGTGGAGTAATGTGCCAGCAGCAGGACTTGCTTCGGTGCAGCTGTACCAAGAGCTCGAGGTGCTAACAAAACTGGCAAATCTGTGGAACAGCACGATTTGAGGTTCATCCTTTGACCTCCATTTCACAATATTGAATTTCTGGTTGCAAAACGCAGCTGTATGTGCATGTGTGTCGGTGCGTAATTTCAGTGTGTCAAAGTCGCCGCAATCCTTCAATGGTCTTTCACGCACTGCACCTATATCTGTGTGAGTGTGTGTGTGTGTTTGTAGCAAATATCCACTTTATTAGCCACAAAAACTGAGTGCTCAATTAAAATTTATGACAGACAAACAGAAAATAYGGCACGAAGCCTAGAATAGTTATCAGCTACGCCAACTAACTGCCCGAARGAGGAAAAATCAATAGTTGCAACATTTTTCACGAACAGCAAAACGCCAATATGAGCGCGTTGAAAAGTGAACGCGAATAAAATAAAGTGAAAGTGTGTGTTAGAGAGAAAAGTGTAGAAAGTAYAAGCAATTATATAATTTCGAAGAAAATTTGTGGTGTAGGCTCGGTTTTGACAGTTCCACCAATTTCTACAATAAGCGCACGCGTGTGTGTGTATGTGCGTCYGGGTCAACCATATGCTACAATCGATTTAGATGCCAGCAACAATAACACAAATTCATTGTGACACTCGTTTCACTTAAACAACAACAAATCTACAACAACAAAACTACACCAACATATGTATACATACACAGGCGGAAGTTTCACCACACCAACGACGACGACGACGACGACGCMTACGCCAACTGCCAACGTGTAGTAGTTTGCAGAAACTTCCAGTGCTGGCAACCTTAACCTAAACTATTAACAGTCACAAGCAACTAAAAGTAGAAATAGAATTATAAACATCAAGCAACAAACAACAACAAAACCAAGAAGTAAACTCTACAACCAATTTAACTGCCAAACGCTTAACAGCCCTAAACCGCTGCAGCTGCCGCCACAATGGGTAAGAARAAGGTACCGAGTGAGGACCTCATTGTGCCGCCACAGGATCAGCGCATATGCGGCACGATTTGTGTGTGYCAAATGACGCTCGTGCTCAGCTCGGTGGCGCTGGTCTATCTAACGGTCGCCATCTACATGCCGTCGACGCGCGCYTTCAAGAGCGGCATCGATCCAACGCCCGTCATGTGCACCACCACGCGCGCCGTCAACAAGGACAACTGCGAGTGGGGCTCGTGCGGCGAGTGGTGTCTGAGTAAGACGTCTGGCGCCTGCATACAAATCTACGTGAATTTACGTACCAACGGCACCAATCTCACCTTTCAGAATTGCACGAATTCGGCGAATAAAACGTGCTACGGCATCGATCAGGACCGCGCCGATAAGGCGCGTTGCATAAATGATGAGTGCAAAAATTTGACGGGTACATTTAATTGTACCGAAGGTCAGTGCTTAAATATAACCGATGCGTTYGAGTGTGTTTTCAAGAATAGCGATTCGCCGGTCAAGTGTTCGGGTCGGCGGGGGAAAATCAATTGTATGGACATAAACGGTTTGTTTTCGTGTAATCGCGGCACGTGTCGCAAAATACGCACTCCCTACAATTGTGACCGTCGTTGCGTCGACATACCGACACGCAATAAGAATGTRGTGGTGTTGAGTGGCGACAAAGTGTATTTGTCGCAATGTCAAAATGCCATCAATGCAGAGACTAAAGAAGAAGTGTGGAATGAATCCGCTGATAATGTTGTGATGGCATCGTGTTATTTCATAAAAAACACATCGGATCGTGTGGAGGCATTAGATTGCATTAACGGCTCGACGCTGGAACACAATATGCTCACGGATCTCACCAATTTCACGTATCTAAGTCATCTGCACATATCGGTGTCGGTGCCAACGCCGGAGATAGCGCCACCCGATTTCGATTTGACCATTTCGAATGAGTCGAAGCTCATGATCAATCTGGAGGGTTGCGTGAATACGCTGATGGATGAGTGCAAGGAGTTCTTGAAGGATTTCGGCCGTGATGGCAGCGATCACAATGCACGTGCGCGCTTCCCTTGCTTCTACTCGCCGTCAAAGAAGGAAATTGTCGTGGCTCGCTTCGACTTGGAGGTCACCTATCGACAGTTTGTTATCGCCTCGGTTGTGCCGTCCGTCTTGTTTGTGGTATCTTGTCTAGTCTTGCTGCTGTGTCAGAAGACCGTCTATGTGGGTGATGATGCGAAAATGCGYTTCAAAGGTTGTGTGGACACGGATACGATATTGGCGAAAAATAATATTGGCTCACAAACCAATTTGGGCGATACTGGTGGAGGTGGTGGCGACGACGTAATGGCACTATGAGATCCGTCACGTAAGCATGCAAATGATKGTTGCTTTTATTTATTTAATTGCTCGCTATGAGCCACAACAACCAGTTACCATCTCACAACTTGTGTTATTACTCTCTAATATTTGTTCAGCTTAAATCGATATGTAAATTGTAATGCTTATTTTACACTTGCAGCATACTTTCAGCTACATCAACGTGGATTGAGACCTGAAAGTTCGAATATTTATCCACATTTTTGAACATTTGTGCTGTTGTTATTGTCTGTAAGCATCGTTTATGATGTAGGTTCGCAAGGAGCTTTTGTGAATAACAGCATTTAAATTGTAGAAAGAACGCATACACATATATCTCAAGGAGCTTTTGTGAATAACAGCATTTAAATTGTAGAAAGAACGCATACACATATATTTAGTTGAATTCCATTTTTTGTACATTGTTAGCTTTTCGCGCGAAAGCTTAGAGCTTCATGCAATWAAAAATATATTTTTTTAGAATCGTAAATAAAAATGTTGAAATGATATTTAATATTTTTTTGTATACTCGAATTTAGCTTTGTAAAGTATTTGAATTACGGATCTTTTAATTATTCGGATAACCTGTAAACCGGTTATTCGAATTGTAASCGGTTTGTAACCGTTCAATAACCAATTAATACAATTCGAATAGTGGTACTACTACGACTATTCGAATACTTGCTCTACTGCGAATATTTGAAAAAGTTAAAATTGTTTGATATCCAAGCAGCCTTTGATTKTGCTTGCTTTATATTTGTGAAAATATCTAAAAAAATTTGTAGAAGTTGAACGGTTACTAATCGAGCAGTCAACAACGAACGGTTAACCGGTTAGTCGAAAGTGAGCGGTTAATCGTATAGTCACCTACGATTATCTGGATATTACAAACCGAATATTATTATCTGAATAATGCTCTGACCGGAGAGTCCAGTTGATCGATTTTTCTAATACCCAGAGTTCTAATTTGAGTATTTATAAAACTTATTTTCCATGTAGTAGTATTATATTAAAGAAAACCGTATTCCCTTTCAATAACYATGCTAATGTTATACAAAAGCTTAGAGCTTTCATCCATTATAAATTCTTCTTGTTAATATACAAATAAAACCTATGAGCGAAAGCACTAGTAGTAGGTGTAGAATTAGTTAAAAGCAGCTCCTGTAGTCCCTGGTAAATTTTTCAGCTACTTATTCTAAATAAATAAATATTGTTCTATTTAGTGAAAGCTTCGAGTTTTTTATAAATATCATAAACATACTGTATTCATTTCGCTCATAGTTTAATTTTGTGTGTTTTAATTTWGTATATTAGATAAAAATAGAGCTTCCATTAATGAAAGATTTTCCATAATTTCCAAATAATTAACCAATTTATATTAAGTATTGAGGCAAGACTGATATATTTATTATAAAGCTCCATTTTTCTATGCGAAAGCTGTAAGATCTTTATTTTAGTTTTAAAACAGAGCTTTTATTAAACTGTCAACTTTATTCAAGGTATATATTATTGATTGTAATGAAGCTATCAGTTGCGTTATAATACTTCAGAAAGGATACTGCTCAAGGGTGGGTTTCTGATCAAAAGAAATGTTTGACTCTATAAAAGCAGGGGACATAGCTACTGTTAAAATAAAATACACTAATTGGTTTTGTCTCTGATCTTTTGATAAATAATACCTTGAATGATAGATATAACCAAATAAAAAAATAAATTTTTATATCTACCTATATGGTATGAAACACTGGAGGAGATATCGCCTACTCCTCTTGGACTTAGCAGCAGAAATATACCTGGTATCGCAAAGGACCAAACTGGTCTAAGCGTAGATTATTATCAAAGTAATCTGACCTAACCTAACCTAAATCGCTATCTCAAATAGTTTTTGCATTACAGCCTTTAAAGTSTAGGCGCTCAGTTCAATCAGCTACATGAGATTAAAACCCGACCATTGGCATATTCTGTAGTTTTCTACACAATGACTTTTTTCTTCAATATTTTTACTATGGATTTTTGAAATATGTATAAAAAAGTTGTTACTCTACTTATGGCTCTTAAGATTATAATGCCTTATAAGGCAGTAAAAGTTGTGTGTGACTTCTCTTGTTAGAGCCATAATACGACCAGTCATACATAGCTGGTTCTCTTTTAAGTTCAGCGAGCGCTGATCAAATATAAAGTATTTCTGGTGCATGATCTCTGCTGTTGAAAGAAACAGATGAAGGAAAACAATTATATCATGGCTGCAGTCTTGTCACTCCTAAACTAAAACAACTGTGCTCTCATTTATTCAATCACCCAGAGGAATTACATGGTATTGAAATTAATTTTTGAAGACTGTTTTGAGTATATAGAGTACGGAGATTTAATTCCTTCAATAATATTTCGGAGCATATCAGCCTCAACTAACATAAACTTCTTTATAAAATTCTTAACTCTTTATATTGTTAAGTTAAATAGTTCCTCAATCCAATTTTATATGTATATTGAAACTGTTGTATCTTAATCACACTATATTGATTYGGATTTATTTCTCAAAAATATAAAAATTATATTTTAGCAACTATTTTATAGATATAGTTTAAAGTCGGTAAATTTTAACTCCCAGAGCAATTTTAAACACTTACTTAATTAGTTGTCAATTTTAACCTACTTTTGTTTYGATATGATTTTTTCAATACTTGAATTACGCTAACATTTGTATTTTCTCAATTTTCTAGGCATTCCTCTGCTCCAAGAAGACAGTCCCGTACATCAGGCCGGCGTGTTTGCCATGCAATAAAGCAGCAGACAGTGCAGCAGTAACAAACAACAACAATAACAACACAAGTTGTACAAAAGCACACTCACTTCACCAAATCAAATCAAAAAGAAACCAAGAAAATTTTACATCCAAAATTTAAAAAATATTTTAATCAGCCCAAAAATTATAAAAAACAAACAGTAAACTTCAATTCAATTTCACTCCCCGCAAAATGCGCTTGCCAGCAATGAACAAARAATATTATAAATTAGTCAAGTAAACATTATGTACCACAAACCAACCACAGAGAGCAAGTAATTTATGCAAATCACAATCAATTTGAAAGCGAAAAAAAAAACAAAAAATTTAAAAATTATGAAATTGCTGCAAACAAGTTTTTGAATATATTCTCGAAAGMAAATATGCTGTATTTTAAATTAATATTTATGCACACGAAAGAATTAAGAACAACAACTAACGGGACATAAAGGTCTTGTAAAACTTATTCATTCAGACAATATTAGATTTACAAAAGAACAAAGACAAAAAGAAAGTAAAAACTTACAAAAATAAATTCAAAGATTTGCAAGCACTCAATTCAAAGTTGTAAACGCAAGCAAAACGCAAAAAACAAAAGCAAAGCAAGAACATTATTCCACTTAAGTTTAGTATATATGAAAAGTATTTACAATTGTTCACTACAACTACAATGCAAGGCAAATATTTATGTGTTATTCCATTTGAATTAATTGTAACTTAGTTAAAGATCTATATTGAAGCGCTTTTTGCACTAATTTCGTACAAACGGGCACTCAACACACAAATATTTTACAACAGTAACTCACTGGCACACACACATACTTATATATACACACATACACACACACACACATTTCCACACCAGCAACTCACTTGTTATGGAAAGTCAAACGGTTTGGAGGGATGCGTGATCAAGCAAATATTCAAGCAAATTTTGGTACAAACAAAACAAAATATATGAAAAATTAACAAAAATTAACAATAACATACAAAGAGACGACAAAATAAACAAACAAACAAACGAACGTGAAACGTAAAGTAGCAAAAGTATARAAAAAAAGAACACAACTAACAGACTTGGACACAAGAAAAAACAAGACAAATAGGCATGAAGTAAGAAATTAGATAAATTACCGTTCAAATTAGTATGAAGAGTATTTAGTGAATATCGAATATTAAATAAATTAACTTAAAAATAGAACAGAAACAAGTATCAAGTATCATAGAATTAAAGTAAAAACACCGACATGTTACGATAAAACCTTAAACCTGAACAAACTGCAAAGCAACCCTGTTAATAGTACACACAAACAAATAACTGAATCTATAAATAGCGATCGTTTGTAGCGCACGAACAATCGAATCCACAAAAACACACACAAAAATCTACAAACTACGAATAGCTGTAGTCAAGACACAAACCGTGTAACGTACCACAGACACACACCAAAAGCAGTCGTCGTGCGCAGAGTATAGCGCAACAAGATGAAGAAAAGTTCGACCGCTACGACAACAATGTCGCTACCGACCAGTCCGACAATTTCGGCGCACACCATTACCGGCAGTAAGCTAAGTTTAAGCAGCACAAAGACAGCGACTTCGGGGCGTTCGAGTCGCTCGAGCATGCAATCGCCACAGAAGAAGAAGAGCGATCTCGAATTAGAGTCGATATTAGAGAAGGCGAAATTTTACACATCGTTGTGCCTTGGTGAGTGTAGTGAATGWGCATAGTATTGCTTAAAATGGTAATATTAATGGGCATCCGATAATAAGTGGATGATTATTGAGCTGGAATGAGCACAATGGCATACTTAATTTATTTGCTTGCTCCAAACTTATTATYAGCTATCGAACTATTTATGTACATATATATATTGGTATTTGTTGGAATTATATGCATGCCTACATATGTTTTTAGTATTACAAATTGCACTTTCATTTTCACAGGAACCACTGCAATTCTGTCGGTTTTTGCCTTCCTCTTTTTAATACCATTCGTTGTGGATCCAGCAATATCGACGATAATTGCCGATTATGATCCCGTACCAGTTACATGTATTGTCATTGATCATGTCTACGCGGAAGGCATAAGAAATTGTTCGTGGAGTTCATGCCGCGAGGGCTGCACGTCATCACTCACCAAGTAAGTATTATTCGTATATAGTATAAAAGCGAAACGAGTCCAATTCTTACTACGTTTATGAAACCCATTAGTTTAAATAGCTTAAAAAAAAAAGAACTTAATAAAATCTGCTCTAGAACCACATTAGAGRTCTTTGGTATAATATTCTAATAGTTCGCCCATGTCATCCCAGTGTTGAGGGCATAAATATAGTACTATATTAGCTTTGGAATATTAGGCTTGTTTTTGGGCAAGGCGAGTTAAGTTTGATTTAATGGCTACTCCAGAGATCGCACTTCGACAGCTATGCGGTCACTTAAGAAGTCATAGATACAGAACTCCTGTTTTGTCGCCTTTAACAGCAARGTGCCTTTGGTCAATAAAAATATTTTCAGAAATTAAAGACACTGTGAAAATTTGAGGTCCTAAGTGAAGTGCTAAGATGTTTCCACCTTCTCTTCTTCYATACAGCATTTGCAGCTRGTATATGGCAAGATTTTTAACCATACAGCWTGGACGTCGATAAGATCTTGGGACAGCGCTTGAACCGATGACCAGCGCTGACCAAGTTCTCGCGAAGCGCAAGTTTCAGTAATATAACACATGAGAAAGGAGCTCCAACCGGTTCCCATTCTACTGATAGCAGAGCTAGGGTGCATTCCCTCAGGAGTATATTCGGTGTGGTCTTTTAATTTTGTAGCCTACATTAAAACAAGGACCATACGTTGGAAGACATGGAAAATGTAAAAAATATATATGTATATATAAATATACCCTTCTGGCAACTTATCTTCCTTCCATATTTTATATACAATTTAGATTAAAATCTCGCAAAATCCTTAATATTATATTAGAAAMCCTGAACTTCATCGAAATTTAAAATTTATAAATGGAAAGTAAATTAAATTGTTAGATTTCGCCATAAAAGAATATTTCACTTATTAACCGTTTGCAACTTCCAACAAAATAAAGTTCTCWCTCATTACTCTCGCAGGTGCCATCAGTTGTACGTCAACTACACACGCATACCATTCATCGAATGGGAAAAGAATCCACATGAGCTGGATAAGGTGCAATGGGACGTCAGTTATACGAAATTTCTCATCAATTCGGAAGGTTGCGGTTATCCACCCACAACGAATTGCAGTGTCTTTGCGCGCCAATATGGGTGAGTCTTGCAAATACAATATAATAAAATAAATAATTTTTAATTGTATAAATTTCATTTATGTTTCTCACTTGTGTGCTCTCGCTCTCGCTTTTAATAGCTACTCGCACATTGGCGAACCATTTCCCTGTTATTACAGTCGTGCCTACCCAGAAGTGGTGATCGGTCGCTACTCGTGGGAGAACAACTTGTATCATCTCGTGCTGTCGCTTATCATACCGAATGTTCTATTCGCCATTTCGATTGGTGTGCTCAGCTATTGGTACTGCCCCTGTTGCGACAAAGCATGCAACAAATCATCACGAGTCTATGCGGAGAAGTTTCCCTCGAAGGAAGAGTGAGTTTCAAAACCAAATTGTTAAACAATAATTAATCACCACAATCAACTACTTAACATAACTACCTACCTAACTAACTAACTACTACATCATCAACACACACATACATATGCTCGTAATCTCGTAATTCCTCAGTATGCATTAATACTAACAACATATTGTATTTTAAGTTGTTGTAATGAACGTTAACTATACACTAAAAGAAAGTGAAGAAGAAGTGAAGATGAAATGAAAAGAAAATATATTAATAATCATAGCTATATCCTACTGTACCTGCATAAAAACCTGTATAATTTGGAATGTTTCTTCGAAATTTGTTATGGCATTCGTAAACRACTAGATACTCGTTGCATACACAAATATATATTTACATAATTTCATGTGTAGTCGACATAGACATATTGTTACATAAGTACTTTATAAATATTTATATGCATAATTGTAGTAAATGCGGTTGTACCGTTAAGCATTCATATTTTTATCGATTAATTATTTCATTTTTATTAAAATTATCATAAYGTAAACGAATTTTTGTTGTAAAGAATGGCATATCCTCTCAATACATACTTATATGGATGAGAATTTTGATTTGTGAAGAAATGGAAGTAAGCATGTACATACATATTTGAATCGGTCAAATGATTKGCGATGAAAAAAATGAGTTTTTAAATATTTTTTTGTAGTTAAAACGCATTTATWTTGCATGTTCTCAATTTAATTATATATTGGCATGCTAATTGGTGTTATTGTTGTTGCATTTGTGTTGTTAAAATTAACAGAAATTACATTTTTCCTTCTACTCCTTTCTACTTTCTCTTTTCCGTGTTTACGCTCGCTCAAATTACTCATTTATTACTCGCTCGTAGTGTGCTCGTTATTGTCATTGACTTTAGTGAATTCATTTAGGACCGCATTTAAATGACAAACTACAAAACTAAAGTAAAAACAAAAACAGAGTTCAACATTAATGTTTGTAATGACCGTTTACCATTCACGAATATTTACAGGATTGTTAACTGCATGAATTGCAAACCGGAGAAAACGTTATCCCTCAGTAATTTTTAAGCGAAATCTATGCAAGTGCCTATTAAAACCGTTTGATATGAATTCAAATAACCGTTAAATGCAAAAAAAGCTTTAAAAATATTATATACCAATGCGGTAAATTGCAAATTTATCGAACAAAAATAAATATTACCATAAACTTTTCGATTACTCGCGCACATTTTCTAATCCTTGCTAGCTAAATATTGAGATTTTGAAATTTTAGATAAAAACTACTAATTTAGCATATAGTACGCGTAGTCTAGTCAAATGGCACTTATTTGAAAGAGTAGCGCACATAAATTTATTAACATATTAAGTAGTAAACTTGTTCTTAAATATTAAATTTGTGAGCGATAAATTCACATTTACTAGTAGTTAGCATTATCGAAAGATGTTTTGGTTTCAATTTCAACTAATGTTCACATAGAGTCACACTCTGCGCCAAATYATTTTCTAAAAGCGAAATTGTTGTGTTCACGAAAGACGGTATCAGCTTTATCATATATTGATTGATCTAATCTAGTGCAAAGCGGGTCACTTGACGTCACAATTTCAGATAATAGACTTTGCGAACCAAAGAAATTGCTCAGAGCAARTCACTATCGCATGTGGCTGTACTGCAAACTGACAGTTCTTGATTGATTTGAAATCAGCTGCTTCAATGACGTCACGTTAGCCTGACTGATCTTTCTGATAAAAGCGCTTTGCTAATCAAATTCTCTCTAAGTAGTTTGTGTGTACATTTTATAGAAAATACKAACTTATCAACTTAAATTAAAATTATTAAAATTAAATTAGTTCAAATTAAATTTACAGCTTTGGTTTTTTCTTGAACGAGAATGAATTAACTTAAAAACCGAATAATATATCTGATAAATACGGCAAAACCCTTACAAAATTTTCT